TGTAAGAAGTGGACATAGTCATTGTCACATCACCCATTGATTTGTAGACTGTTGAAAGTATTGAGTTCGGCGTTTCGACTGTCACCATCTTGGTTTTTGGCCGTCGCCATTTTGTTGTTTTTTTTCCAACCAGATAAGACACGAGAAGGTGGAGCTAAGTACAGCCGAACGCTGCGCAAGACATATGTTATAATTAACGTTCATGAATTGGAAACGCACTGTAAAAGGGTTAAAGATGTGAGATGGAAACTGTTTATAAGAAGTGGACGTAGTCACCGTGACGTCACATATTGCTTTGTGGACTGCCGACTTGAAACTAGCTATTGAGACCATAAACTCATGTTTACAATGGTAATAAATCAAGTGAGAAGTAGAGTCATTTACTCATTGACTTCTTTAGCATCAGACTTGTTTTAGCAACCAGAGGAGTCGCCCTCTGCTGGCCAGCAGAGAGAATGGAGGTTTAAGACACTTTTCAGAACTGGAGGTTGTTAAGCACAGTTATATAAAAGAAGTTGAACTTTAAAAAAAAAATGTGGGTATTGCTAATAACTTGCTGAATTTGAATCTTTAATGTGACTTCTGTGTTGCACCAAGAAATATTAAGGCAGTTTCTTGATACCTACGTTGATATCTATTTGTTTGACTTGATCTTGAAGGAAAATTATTCCAATGTTGCTGCATAATGTTCTCTCAACACTGACAGCTTAGAGAGTGCGCTCACATTCGTGCATGTGTGTGTACGTGTGCTGCCAGATGCTCGTTTCATCTCCCGGTGTCTCACTATCATTTCTGCCAGTCGAGCTTGCTTCCAAGTTTGTGTCGATGCAAACTTGTCAAATGTACAAATACGCTGGAAATAATACACCAGTTTTTCAAACTCCGCATTACCTCGCTGTCAGTGTCGCAACCATTGTGCCGTGACAGCCAGTCACAGGCTCGCTAATGATTCCAGTTTGTACTGGGGGGGGGGAGCGGACTGACAGGCTGTATTCACTCGCAAACCCAAAAACTCGGCATTTACTAACACTTAAATTCACACGTGTGCATGCGGGAACATAATAAAAAAAAGAATAGGAAGAGAATAGGAGATATGTATTCCTGCTGATGTTTTATGATAGACAGAGCAATGTTCAGGTGTCAAACCAAAAGACCTCCATCCTTCAGTTTGGACCCAACACCTGGAGCTGTACCACATAGAATCACAAACGGGCGCATGCACAACACAGCAGCAGCTGCTCTTATTCCTCACGAAAGAAAGCGGAGCTGCTCAGCATCCCTCCGATCTGCTCGGGGGCTGAATAAATAACACTCCACCGGCAGCATCGCAAAACATTATGCAGTGTCACGTTATTCTAAATTGAGAAGCTTTGCAGCACAATGCAGGGAACGATGTGGGTGCTGTGGCACCAAATAGGTCAGGGTGTTGGCATATGACACACACGGTATACAAGTTGTGTGATCTATTAGTTATGGTGTCAGGGATGAGCTGATGTTGTCAGAGTTGCAGGGTTTGACAGCCCACAGAAGAAAAAATAAGTACTCTCATTTAAAGGTGTTATTATTAGTATATCTGTGTTGGCAATACGTCCAGTCAAAAGTCAGTGTGAAAATGCATTTTTAGGGAGTTAAAACTAACTGAGACTAACTAACGATTCTGGGCACAGCGGTGGTCCCAGCAGCGACCAAACTCAAATGTTCTTGTCACAGAAACCGGATTGTTTAGTCACAGCAGTCCGGACCTTATTTAAGGTGTCGGCCTACAGCTCCGCTGACAGTGATGGATGGAGGCCTGGGATCAGGTGCAAAGTTTGTTGCTGGCATTTACACTTGGAGTAAACAGAACTACAAAAAAACAAAAACATTGTCACGATCAGGCTTTATCTTGTGTGTTCTGTGTCTTTGTGTAACTTCACCCTCCTCACTCTACCTGTCAGTCACTCCCTCAGCATCAACCTAACTCCCTTCACCTGCCCCTAATCACACTCACCTCATCAGCTCATTACTCTCACCTGCTCACTCTGCCTCCTTCACTATTTAATCCCCTGCCTCACACACACCCACTGCCAGGTCATTGTTTGTGTTCCTACCTACCTGCCCGTTTTGCTCGTCCTGTTTCCCAGTCTGCCTGCCCTGTCAGAATTCCCCCCCTCGTCTTTTGTCTTGTCCTCGGATTCCCTGTTTGTTTATGGTTATTCATTTAAACCCTTTTTTCACTACACCTGACTGTCTGCGCTTGAGTCCTCATCATGCCCCGTGACAAACATTCCTTTTAGTAAAACCTTTCTGCTCTTAAAAGTTTGAGAGTTTCATTCTGGGTGTTTATTTTTAATTACTATTGAAGAACTGTTGAAGACTTAACCTAGATGCCAGATACACTCACCAGCAGCAAACATTACTCGACACGATCCGTTCTCGAAAGACAAAAGGTCAAGAATATCTACTTTCCCTCGCTGGTGCCCAAAATCACATCCTCACACCGAGAGTTCTTCATGATCTTTTAGGGAGAAACATGTGGCAACACGCTGCGACAGCAGTACCAGATGCTTTGATGTCAAGAAAAATGTGGGCGAACATATTTATTTTTTTAACTTTCTGAATCCCACATAGGCCTGGTGAGAATGATGAACGACCATGTTTTGTGCAGAGCGCATATTTATAACACCTGGCTGGATTATGTGCAAAGCGTCACTGCACATTCACGCGTCAGCCTCAGGCTTGTCCTACATTAGATGCCAAAGTACAAATCCTACAGATCTGATGCAATGATTCTAAAGGAACAGCGGAATAAAATGCGACCTCCAGCCACAGCAAACTTAGGGCTGCGTTATATACCACAGTTGTCTATAGGTCAGCGCTCCTCCAGGGAGTGAAAGAACGAGAGAGCTCAAGAGAGTTACATGTCTTCTGTTGGGCTGTCAGTCAGTCACGTGTCACTGGCTGTGGATTGGAGGGCACTCATCTCTTTCTATCAGAGAGTGCGAGTAGAGACCCCCTGTCAGGGGAAATTAACTCTGCTAAAGGGGCGGTTGAGACTCTCTCGCACGTTAAAATCTCATACAAACTCACTTTCTTTATCTTTCTAATTCTCCCTCTTAAGGCCTCTACACACCGGGGTTGTGACGAATAAAAGGACATGAAAACAGAAATACTCGCTTGTGAATAAATTGCATCAAAACTATTCAAAACCGGCAGTGATGCGAATTTGCGACAGTTGCAATAAAAAGGTTTGAATAGATTTGCATAAGCAGAGGGCCAACTACCTGGATCTGACAGTCTGTCTGAGGTCAACTGTTAAACTGTAAACCATTTTCCTGAGTTTCCTTTCAGCAAAATGCTCAGAGTGAATTGGAGTTCCTTCTGGTAAAAAGTTAAGTTAGAGTATCGGCGGTTCGATCCCCGGCTTGGCTAGTCCATGTCGATGCTAAATTGCTCCCGTAGGTTCTGCCTCCGGAGTGTGAATGGGTGTGAATGTAAGATAGTCCTGGTGGGCAGGTGGCACCTTGCATGGTAGCCCCTGTCATCGGTGTATGAATGGGTGTAAAAGTGCTTTGAGTCCATTTACCATTTGATGCCTTTATTCGCAAAGGCTCAGAAAGTACTCTACAGTTTAAAAAATATATATATATTGACATGCCAATTGAACTCCCTCAGTGTGCAAATTCCTTTCAATTTAAAGACAACATTGTGATTGCCTGTTCTCAATGCAACCTTCATACATGCGAGTTTCCTAATGACTGGGTGATGAATGGATTCTTGTCAACCCCTCTAAAAAGGAACAGAAGACACCTTGGCACACACGACTCACTTCTCAAGTTGACAAGCAGGAACTAGCTGGTTGTTGAACAAATCAATAATGATATGAAAGTATGTAGAAAAGGATGTCTTGATCTAACCCTCAGCATTAGGACGGAGGTGGGGATTAGCCGTCTCAAATCTGATCCTTTGGTTGTCTGGTCTGTCAGCTGTCCCCCCACTGCACTGAGTTAAAACACTGGAAGTATCTCGTACCGCACAGTGTTCAAAGTGAATGAACAGAAAACCCCACAAAATGCATGAAAAACCGCAGCCCTTAAAAAGCCAATAACGATGTGAGCAGAATCGCTCTGTCACTGATCACTTTGAGTGTGTGTCTAAAGATCCATTTTTTAAAAGTTATTTTCTGCTGTAGGTAGTTGCTACATGTCCCTTGTGTTTTGCATTATGGGACAAACATTTCCATCAACCCAACATTTAAAATTGGGCAGCTCTAGTACTGTGTATGTGAGGTGGAACCGATTCTCCAAACAAGCCACTCTTCCGTGGTATCTCCCTGCTCCAGCCAGCCAGCATTGTGTGGAGTGTGTGTGCGCAGTGTAACGCACGCACACACACACACACACACACACACACACACACACACAATTTTCTGGTGGGTCTCCACAGTGGAAAAGTATTGGTATGTTTTAATGAGCCAAGAGTCTGGAGGCCTGAACTTTAACATATACAGTTTGGATCACAGACAGGAAAAGTATGAGAATATAAACTCTTGTATAAGGCCAGTTCCAGAAGTTAATATGATTCAGACAATTAATATTCACCAGGAAACACACACGAACACACCGGAGAAGGGTAGACCATGGAGAGTGGGGAGATGGGAAGTTGTGCCTCGGCTCTTTTTCTTATTGGCGACTCCTCTGGTTGCAAAAACAAGTCAGATTGTATCGAAGTCTATGAGAAAATGACCCTACTTCTCACTTGATATATTCGGACAGTAAACATTGTAAATTTGAGTTTATGGTCTCAATGGCTAGTTTCAAGTCTTAGTAAATTGTCTTGCAACTTTAACCCTTTCATAGTGTATTTCTTTTTCAGTTCATCAAAGTTGATTCGTTCTAAAATATCTTATTCAGACATTGGTTGCACTTAGCTCCACCCTCTCGTCTCACTTCTGGTTGCAAAAAAGCAAGATGGCGACGGCCAAAAAGCAAGATGGCGTTGGCCAAAATGTTGAACTTGATGCTTCAAAAGTCCAAACCAATGGGTGACGTCATGGTGACTACATCCACCTCTTACTTACAGTCTATGGTTAAGAGGTCATCTTAGGCTCCAGTGGCTACTCGCTGGTGTGTAACTGTAGACTATTGTATAACTCAAAAGTGAGGTGGCAAATGACGTGTTGTTGCAAAACAAAACGGGATAAAGGACATCAAAGAATCACTCCCATTTTGTACTGCCCGGCACTAACCGGCTAGCACCCACTTCAAAGCCTGGTACTGCAGGGAGCTGGGTGACACCAGCGGGGGGGAGATTTTGCGCCATGGATGGAGCGACCAGACGGAGGGGTCAACGCGAGCCCATCCCAACCTGGGTGGAAAAAGTGGAGCCCCTGCGGACCATCTTTGAAGATGAGAGAAAGTTTGCACTCTCCTATGAAGCGTTGAGTCTTCAAAGGACCTGGCGTAAAAATATATGATTGGTGGAGAGAACGTCTCATGCTGGACAGATTTCACCGTATATCTAAATCACGCTACAATACATAAATTGTTTATGGCTCGCGGCTCGACTTGTCAGGGACTGAGAAAAAACGATGTACGTCTCTGTGTTTTTCAGCTGGCTTTGTTTCAATTGCTCCGTAAACCTGGAAATCATAGAAACTCTAGTTTGTATCTGACAACATGTATTATACAAACTGTGTAATATCCCAAACGCTTTCACATTGAATATGCATCCAAATAAAGGCCACTGTGATATAAAAAAACAAAAAAACAAAACAAAGTAACCATCATCAACTATCTTGTTTGTCAAGACCGAGATAGAGGCCGGTGCTTTCCGCACGCCTCCCAGGCCATTAAAAATAGATGCCACAAACTGAGAGCGACAGACAGAGGAGGGAGGGGGGGAGGGAGGGAGGCTTTTGACAAAGGCTCATTCAAACGCTGCGGCACAACGTAGCGACTTGAGTGCCGACTCCCACACCGGCAGCTCAAACCACAAGACAGCCCCGGCCTCTAATCGCAAACATTTATTCAGATCAGACAACTCCACTGGATGTCTCTGAGGAGCATCTCTGTGAGATATAAAAAGAATCAGGAAGGAAGACGAGGGAAGAAAGAGAGATCAGCCAAGTGATAGAGGCAGAGAGAGGAGGAGGGAAGGCCAGAGAGAGAGAGCGACACAGATGGAGACGGAGACAGAGGAGAGCCGGTGAAACAAAGAAAACAAAAATAAGTCGCTGCGAAATTGAGAGTGAGCGATTGCTCTTTTGTTGGAGTGCATTTAGAGCCGGAGTGACTTCGGCTCCCCAGTGATTACACAAAATAAAAAGGAGAGCACATGAAGGTCCCCCGACTCAGCAGACTGAAACCAGCTCAGGCTGAGACGGGCTAATGTGGTGAGAATACAAATGCATAAAAGGCATATTTACACTGGAGAACGGTCTGATGAAACCCGGAGTGGAAAACAAATTCCAAACCATCATTTATTAAACGAGAGTGAGTCACCGGGGATGATGCTGCCGCAGAGTTTGGAAACAAATCAACACTCGGCGGTTTCAATTAGAGCGTAACTTGCGCTTGTGATGTGTTTTGTAGCGGAGTCGCCAACGCTTCGTTAAGTGCTTGGACTGAGAAAGTAATACAAGTGATGAATAACACTTTTTTTTTTTTTATTTCTATGATATGAGTGGAGGCTGTAAGAGATGGAACAGAAATTGTTAAGTGAGGAAATGAAGACTGGGTGAGCTTGGTGACCGCTTCATTTCTGAATGAAGTTATAAAGTGACATTAATGAACATCACTGTTCTGGGATGTAAATGTACCAGATGTAGAAGAGTCTTCTATCTGCCAGCAGGTTATTATATGAAGTAATGCATACGTTCACCTTTTTTAAACTACTGACCACCACGTATCACTGCTCATTAGGGCTTCTCAATAATATAGTGATTTACTCTTGAATATTGCGACTAAAAGTTATACGTAGAAACACATGATTGAAGGTATCATAAAAATATGGATAAAAGCATTTAGAGTATGTTCAATTTATGAACTATTATATGCCTAACTAAAAAAAAAAAAGAATCGGCAGATTAAGCGACAATTGATTGCAGCGCTTTACACTACTGTTTATGCATTTACATAAACTTATTTATGTAGTAGTAGGACTGTAATCGCCGCCAGCAACGTCACAACAGAAAGGAGAAACGCCTGTTCCGTCTGTCATAACTGTCCTTAAAACCTGCAACACGTGAGGCAGGTGCCCTGCAGGGAAAAAGCTCTTCTTTCACTTCCTCTCTATATTCATCCACATCTTACTCAAAACCCCCTCAGGTGAATCCCACAGTCCCACATTTTGCGGTGTGCAGTTACACGGTAAGCTTGTTAGCTGGGATGTTACAACCAGTAATGACTCCTGGACACACTGGAAAAATAAGATGCTACTGCACTTAAGACTCAGACTACTTAAGGATGAGGGTTGTTTGTGTGTGTGTGTGTGTGTGTGTGTGTGTGTGTGTGTGTGTGTCACTTATTGTCAGCATTACAATTTACATAGTTATTCTATTTCAAATCAAACAATTATAAGACCATGATGGCAGTTTTTTTATACTGAAGATGATAATGAATTTCTATGTAAATGTAACATTTGACAATATGTAATATATATACGTATATACTATAAATAAGTAGTGTTAGTGCTTTGTGTGGAGCCAACACTGATGTAATCCAGTAGCGTTTATTTTAAATGTCAGCAGGGGGAAGTGACACACACACTCTTATTGCAAAAGACGACTGAGGGGGGAATACCTGGCTGCAGGCTGCAAAAAGGGGGCGGGGTTCAACGGCAAACGTTTAATCCCACTCACCGTAATTTCACCCAGATTTGATCGGTCTGTGTTACTTTGACATTTAGCTGGATTTAACAGATTTAAAGTAACTAAACAGGCTTTCCAACGGTATAAAATTCATTGCCAAGAAGCATTGTTACAACAGAGAAATAATCTACCAAACGCTAATTTCCGAACTTTTTGATCGATGTTTATTTGTTATTTTAAATCATTCAAGTTAGGGTAAATGTGAAAGTAATTTAGACCAAGCCCAGCAGTTCATGTGATGTTTCTTGAAGTAGTTCTTAATGGGACTTATTATCAGTGTTAAGAATGAATGTGTCAACCAGTAGATGTGACAGTTGACTCCCCTTCTCACTCTTCTATTAAGCTTTAATGCATTCCATAAAACCATAACTGTGCTGGGAGAAGAGGATACCTCCAGCGTCTCTACCAGCCTCAGAATTAAATATATTCCATATTTTTGGAGTGTTGTTGCTATAATCAGTGTGAATAGTGTTAGAGAGAACAAAAAAGAGACAGTAAAAAAAAAAAAAAAAAAAAAAAAAGACAGAAGGAGATGGTCAACAAACATCTTCACCCCTCTGGTCTCTCCCACTGAATCAGCGCGAGCCGTTTTCAATTACTCAGGCGGAGAGCATCATGGGAGACGAGCGTCCGCGGGGATACAGTCCGCCTCCAAGGGTTCAATCCATCCTCCGGCGACGAGGGAATGGGATGATCCCACGAATGAACGGGCTGGTTAACCTCGCAGTGTGCTGGTCAATACCGTACGAGTGTCAGGGGTTGACCTCGTTATTGATCGGCCCGCGTGCTAATCTGCCGCGGGTCGACTGTGTGTGTGTCGATCCAAACATGACGGGGCTATTCTGGATATTCAGACTGTGAGCATCATGATCCCGTTTGTCTATATTTGTGTCCCATTTCCAGTGAGCACAGAAATTTCTATGTGGTAGTTATAGCTTGGAGAAGCACAGGATTCACTTTGTTTACGGGCACGTGTTCACCTGTTCATGCTCGTTCCAAAGTCTGTTTTGGTTTCGGGTGTGATCTTTCCCTCAACCCACACACACAAATACGCCTTTGCTTGTCGAACATGAGTTAAGTGCACAATGTAAACGGGTGACCAAACTCAGCAAAAGTCCATTCATTTCCTACAGAGCTGAGCAACCAGGGAAACATTCAATGAGCTTGATCAGCTGTTGTCACGCATAGTGTGTTCCATCCTACCCCTACTTGTCCCAGTGTTAATGTCAATGGATTGTTTTAACAGGGGCAGATAAGCGAAGTATTGTGACAACTTCCCATTATTGTTATCATTTAGGAATCTGTAGATTATAATATTCAAATGAGCATCTTATCGTTTGGTTAATAAAAAGTCCGAAAATTGATCCTGCACCTATTAGCAAGTAGCACTGAGCTGAAGTTCATCACAAACGTTTGCAAGGACAGAGAATGTTTTTCTTCCCTTGCTATTCCCAATTTTGTCATTTAAAAATAGTCAAGATTTTCCAATCCGCAACATTCAAGTCTGCAATTTTGTCTTTATTTACCAGTTTATAGCATTGTTATTGTTCTGGAATCAAGTGGAAAGCGAAGGTAAGAGGTGAAGTAAATGTGCGCCGTCAAGTGTGCCGAAAAGCTTACTGAAAGGTCTCAAGTCAATTCCATAATGGAGGTGCTACTAAAGCAGAAAACCTCAGTTTCTGACTTTGCTCTGTGAATGAAGCCAAAAGAGCCATAAAGCAGCGCTAAAGACGAATCCCATGAATTCTTCAGGTCTGTCTGACCTACTTTCTCGAGCTAGGGATTCTTATGTCTACCCACAGGTGCTGAATACCTATTCTCTTTAATGGTATGTATGGCACCCTGTTTATTTAAACACAACCTCAGGACATTCGATAAAGTGCCTGGTGGAAAGCCTGCTGCATAATTGATCAGGGACTTGAGATGGAAAATTTGTTTTGAGTTTTATGCTTTTGACAGAAATGTCTTCTTTTTTTTTTTTTCTTAGGTCAAACTTATTACATCACGATGAAGCCCCTTGAAGAAAACACTCACAAAAACAAATAGACAACAAAACAATACAAAACTGGGGCTGTCCCGAACACATTTTGGGGGCTTCGAAGCTTCAGTGAGGAATATGTGCATTCTGTTGCGCATGGCGACAGCACAGAGCCGTCTGTCCCGATCCCGTTCCGTCAGGAGTACCACACAAAGTGGAGCAGGGGGTTATTTCTCCTTGTGACAACTTTTTCGGGCCACCGTGCTTGAACCCTGGTGTGAGCCCGTGCACTTAAACGTCGGCGGAAGGGGAAACGACGACAACAACACAAGCTGTCAGACATTCCTCAAACTTGCGGTCATTATTTACTTAAATTGTACTTTGCTTTGCTTTTATTGTCTATGAGGGGTTCAAGATTGGATGAAAAGTCTGCATAGCTACAGAATCTACTCGACCAGACTTGAACCTACGATGCATTCAGTCCAGCCGCCGCCATCGCAAGATTCCTAAAAGTTAAAGAGACTAGAAAGGACTGGATTTGAGATCATCAATCTGACACGTTAGGAAAAAACACGTTCGTAATCTGTGAGCACGCTGGTCACGTCTGTGCTGCTCACCTGTACTGAGCCTGGAAGTGTTCGTGGACAAAACTGTGTCGATCTCGAGGCTGCTGCGTGCCGGCTGAACTGGGGCTGGAAGGATCCTCCGACGAACTGGGTCCCTGCAGACAAATGATCGCTTTAGTGGACATGGAATACATTTATGAGAACATCCTTTGCAGGCAGATTCATAAATACACACCATCATCTTCAGAATGATATTAAATAGGAATAAGAACACGAGTTGCCTACAAGCCACAATAAATGAATTAAGGCTGCAGCAGAGAAGACTTTCTTTTACAAATACATTGTTGTCTGTCTGTTACAAATTGAGGCTGCATGCGAGAAGTGGATCTCATTTGCCTTTATTCTGTTGAGTCAATATCAGGCATCAGATATATGACGCTTCTCTTGTTGCACAGGGAGAGATAATGCAAAACTCTCTTTAACAGAAGCCAATGATCCCTCGTGTATTATATAGCAGCTTTAACCAGACCTAATTGCAGATATGGACAAAATGCAAGCTCAAAGAATAACTCAATCTCTTTGACTTTTCCCTTTGCCTTCATTATTTAGAGACAATATACTTTAAAAAATGGTTACTTCTTCGATAAACTGGAGACGATCAAACAGAGAGATACGGATATAGATTAAGAGGGAGAACCAGACAGAGTGAGACAATTTAACTAAATGGGGGAGAAAAAAAAAGGTGAATCATAAAATGTTACAGCATGGAGGGGATTTCATCCGTCTGAAAGAGAGGGAAAGTTTAAATGCTAATTAGTCAACACCGTTTGGAGTCAGAGAAATATTTGAGATGTCAACCATCCTCGCCGGTGTCACGCTGATGTCTGCTGAATAAACTAAATGACTAGGATGCCCCGCACGCTGCGTCGGACTCAGCAGGAGGGCAGAGAGACTTCAAAGACAAACACAAGAATAAAAGAATGACGCCGATGAATAAAAGATGGACAACTGTGACTCGAGGAAACAGAGCAATAGATGATAAAGACGAATCTTTATCTTGTATAGCGGACTATGAAGCCGTTTTTTTGTCTGACCTCACAATTGAAGCGCACATTGCACGTGTACTGAGGTAATAAATCAAGTGAGAATAAGAGTTATTTCCTTAGAGATAGATTCCTTTGGCAACCACTGCCATCTCTGCTGGCCATGAGAGAGAGAATGAAAGAAAATGAAGTTTAAGGCACTTCTGCATTGACTTCCCTTTTCAGAACCAGTAGGGTTGCCGCATGATTATTATTATTATTATTAAAACTACACAATTTAAGACAGGTTTTTTTTTTTTTTTTATAGCTGTAACAGTGGAGCAACAATGCACCTTTACGGTAAAATCCATGTGCACAGCAACGATCGTTAAGTTTGTAGGAGCATGATTCAGGCAGGTTAACAGGCATCCTCTCGGGCCGCTTATACAAAAGAAAACCACCCTTCAACTCATTCTTCGTCTACTATACTGTCACACTAGTTCTTTGGCACTAACCGTTGGCACTGAAAAGGAATTGATAAATTATGCTCCGCAGATTCGTTTAAAAGGCCCTGCACACCCACACAGGTGTTTTCAATCACGCTGCCTAACAACTCTGGGCAGGTTGAGACTGGGTGGAACGGAGTTGCAATAAAACTAAGAAGAAAGTGAAACAGATGCAAACTAAAGCAGAGTCTGCACACACCCACAGAGCGCGGACAGCAACAGGTCTACCAAGGTGACGGGAGTGAAAACACCGGAAAAGCACAGCTGAAACAAACATCGTTACCGATGTCTCACTTCCATCAAATGTCCCAGTAGGACTTGCCAGTGAGTCCGCGTGAACAAGAGGCCTTTTTTTCATGTTTACTGCAGACATTTGACCTGTTAGTTTACGAAAAGCACAGGTGTTACTAGTAACGCTGACGATGCAATCTGGGAACAACCAGCTATGGTGTGATGGTGGTGATTTAGCTTTTTATTGGTTTCATATTAGCTTGCGAGCTGATCGCTTGTGAAACAACCAGGTCGAAGACGTCGTCTCGCATCTCCGGTTGCTAATCGGAGTGTAAACATCAAGAGATACAAACCCAGTGTCGTATCTGTCGTCAGGCCGAGATTAGTTGGTTAGAAACTTTATTGTCCACGGAATTGTCTTTGGCTTCACCGCAATCGCCATGAACTACAAATAAGACGGCAGCAAGAAACGGTATAATGACAATCCAACTTTGATGAAGATTCACTGTTGTTCAAACAAAATCCAATCATTGCATTCACTTTGAACAATGAGCTGCTTTTTTGGAAATCTTCTCCCAGGATGTCTCTTCACTAGAATATATAATGAAGCACAAAGCACAAAAAAATCTCCTGTGTGACAGTTTACTTTCAAACTCCACCTTCAGCACATCTCCAGTATTGGCGTTGTCTTTATTTTTTTTTTCTCTACTAAGTGAATAAAAACAACATAAAAACTCATTGTTCTTCAAGTCGCCGCTTAATAGTATATCGATAGTTGTATCTCCAACTTTTGTTCCCGACAGAAACCACGGGACAAGATTTCCAATTAAGTGCTACGGTGTCTGGCGAGGTCACCAAAGAGTCGACGCAGAAGAAGACGCTGATTGGCTACGCACAGCTGGTCGGGAGCCGTGTTTTCCACGTGCACACACCTCAGCCATCTGCTCGAGTGGTAAGTCTTGACGTGGCTACGCGTAAGATAAAAGCGTAATTAAGGCAAGGAAAGAACAGAGTGATGTGTGAGCTGGACAGAGGGCGGTGCCTCCGTCCCGGGCGGCTCAGACATCCTGTGTGAGCTGTAGAGATTGGACAAGGGACTCGTCGGCACCTGGGGACCACGCGATGCAGCAGGGGTGATTTAAAGTTGACTTCAATTTCCACTTTGTGCTGGTGAGCATCGGTTTTCACTCAGAGAGTAGGGGCGCCAGAACAAAAAAAAGAGAATTACACCAAAGTCATTCTTCATACTACTAAGACGCAGAGATTCTGAATCTCGCATTGACCGCATTTTTTAATCTCTGGCAATCATGTATGATTTTCCAGCTGAGCCATATTTTCACCGAATCAAATGAGATTTCTTTAAATCTGCCTCTGCATGCATTTATGTCATAATAAATGACAATGCTGATGCATTTCACATGGCGTGTTTACCACCTCTCATTTGTAAATCACAGGCCGAGCCGTGACCGACTCTCTGTTTCACCCTCTTTTTTTTTTTGGTCTCTTCTCTGGAGGACAATGCAGAACAATCCTCAGACCCTCCAGAGACAGACTCGGTTACAAGCGTCACCATGGCAACCCTGGCCTCATTCCCCTCAATCAACATATGGGAACAGAGGACGTTTTCATCAGCCACAGTGTGGCCCAAGACTCCCGAGTCATCCGTGTTTGTGTGTGAATGAGGGCAAAATATAAACTAACTCAACTAGTATTTTTTTAAATTACTAGTATGCAAATTCAATAAAACAGATCACGCCACAATTTCAAGGAAAAGTTTGAAGTACCGTGACAACTCTGCTAATAAAAGCACAAGGACAAGAGCGTGGCAGGTACTCTGTGCTCAATGGTTGCGAGATAATGGTGTTTGCACGAGCATGCGATTCCCAGAGATTGAATGCATCATTTTTGAAGTGTGGGATTTGAAATTGCCCTCACATTCACCTTAAGAGAGCCGTTAAGCGCTGCAGATGCACACGAGATGCCGCTGTAAAGTGTGAAGCCTTTTACCTTCAATCATCGCTACCAGCATATTCTGCGTGGTTTGTTTGAATATTTAAAAAAAAAAAAAAACTGGAAGTCTGCAGTTCAGCCATACTGCTGTGACCATTTTTGCATTCTCACTCATACACATTTAATTTCGCTGAGTACACAAAGTGCCAAGAAAGAAAGTTGTTTGTGATGGAGAGGAGGGGGAATGTGAGTGGGAGACAAAGACTGGCTTTGATACTGAATTCTCTATGCATAATTGATCAGAACGAGGGCTTTTCACCGCACCACATGGGGCAGGTCATCAACCTCTTAGGCAGATCTGGGAGCAGATAAACAGACGGCTCCATTGTGCGACAGTAAGAGGTTGAGATAGGGAGACAGAAACTGTCTGTCTATCTTGCAAAAACACATGCTGTATATGTTAAAAAAAAAAATATATATATATATATATACTGTACATGTGCAGATATGCACCGTTAAAACACAGGGAGAGACAGAGAGAGCACCTCACTGCGCCTCTTTATTTAGCACCCAGGGAATAACGAATGCCACCGCGACGCCGCTCCAGCTCTGCCAGAAATAGATGCGGGGGCCAACCGCGGCAATAGCAAGCGAATACTAATATTCAGTAGCACTAAGCTGTTCAATTGTCACACTGGGTGTAACAAAAATAAAAAAACTCCCAACAGATCGAGGCCACATTCAACCGCCTCCTGTTGCTTGGGGACAAAAGTACCGGCAGCATCTACATGCCCCCCGGCGGTGTAATAGATTTCTTCAGATTTACTTTTACTTTCAGAGCTCAGCGTGCTCCAGCTGAAATGCCTGTATTTCAGTCAGGCACACTCTCGTCATAGATTTTAACCATTTATTGCAACAAATGGAAATACAGTTAAACTTGGCGCTGATGGCTCCGCTCCTTTAAAGCTCCCCGGATTAGCCAGCAGCTACCAAGCTAAAACAGGGAGCACCGAGCAACAACCCCCAAGGGTTTACAGGAATGAGCCAGAAGTACATTTTTTAAATACATTTCAACCATTTGCCATGAAAGATGAACTCTGAACTAAAAAAGGGGTGGAGGCTGGGCAGAAGGAGGCAAAGCTTTGCCAGCAGTACGGTCTGTAACAGCGTAGGTGTAGAATGAATCAGTGAGGAGGGAGTCATATTTAAAAAAACCTCCTTGAAGTGAGAGTGGGCTGTGATTGGTGCGTGGCCGATTGGAAGCTGTGATTCAATCGGCTGGCTGTTGGCTGCTTACAGCTGGGGGGCGTATGACTTCCGTGTCCTGCATGAACTAACGCTATGCTTCATTTGTGTTGTTCTCTTAATGACTTCAGTGATAAACTGTGGACAAGCTTCTGTCACAAAATTGTAGAGCAATGAGTAGGCATAAAAAGTGACAACTAA